TGCAAAACCAGGTCCAATCTCAAATTGCCTTTCCTACTCCTTAGGTCATGAAAATGAGCTCAGAGAATCTGGCATATAGTAGGCACTAAATAACTAGGGGCAGGAGCAGAACGGATTCTACATTCTGAGTCTTTCCTGCTCGTTGGATTGGCATGTCTGTAAATCACTGAAGAGAAGGCACAAAGGAAAATACAGTGAATGGTTATCAGTGGTGATGACAAAATGTCTCATAATCACTAAGAGACATTGATATCAGCTGAGGAGAGGTATGTGATACAAGAGGGAGAAGTAGGGCTATTGTTGTTTCCAGTGATGCATGGGCCAAGAGTCATCTGACAATCCAAAGCCATTGTTCACTGTGTAACTAACCCAGATTTATCTGAGAATTAGTTTTCTCATCTGTCAAATGGAGATTTAAAAACTGTCACTGGATTTATAAGATCAAATTAGCATAAAATGTGTTGAACACTTACCCTGGAATAAAGCAAGTGTCCATTAAAATTTTTCAACCCTACCACCACATCTTTGTCCCCATGAAATAATAAATATGGTTATGCTCTTCTTTTCTGTGAAAACAAAATTCTAATTAATGGCTTTGGGTAGAAATAAAAATAGCATGCATGACATCGAGCCTGTAAAGTTAATGGGAAGAGGAAGATGATCTGCCAGAGTAAAGTCTTTTGTTTTCCTTCAGTCCTCCAGCAAGAAGAAACCAGCCAAGATGACTCACTGGTCCAGTTATCTGTTGGGATGGGCGACCTTCCTCCTTTACTTCTATGAGACAAGTGGAGGTAAGTATAATGGAAAATCTGTGGAGGGAAATAAATAACAGCAAAAATAATGGGAGCACTTAGAGACTGGGAAAGAATGAATAAGCCATAGTCAAGAATTCTGGATCCATTTGGGGTGAGGGGCTCGCTTAGCAGAAATCTCAGACAGACATTGGATTTCCACCCTGGATTTGTTGTTTTCTACCTGTTATCTTGATCAAACAATGTAACCGCTTTGAGGCCAGACTCTGCCCTCTGAAGTAAAAATAATAACATCTACCTCCCGGAGCTATTTAGAACACTAAATAAAATAATAACTGCAAGAGACTTTCATAGTGCTCAACAAATGTCTTTAGCAATTTGGGAGAAGTCAATATGTTGACTGAAAAGAAAATTAAGAAAAATAATTCTAGTGCACTGAATCCTCAGACCCTAACTTGCATAACTTCCTTAAATTTTAATGTATCTAGGAGTCTACATTAACCGCCAAGCACTACAATAAACATGGACGTAGGACACAGAGAAACTTTCATTCTACACAGTTCCCTCAGGCCACAGTGGTACATTTTCCACAGTTAAAATCCTTTCAACTTACAAAATCGCACTCCCTTGGATAAGCCTTAAAAAACACACATGCATACACTCCACTTCTTCAATGATCACATTCTTTATTCCAGAGGTTTCTAACCAGGTTCACTAGATGAATGTTAGAGTTCATAAAACCCTGAGCTTGTATTTTTAAAATATGCATATTTATCAGGATAGTGAGAATAGTTGCTATAAAAAACTCCCAACTATCAGCAATTTAACACACACACACACACACACACACAAACACACACACACACACACACACACACATATCTTTTTCTTGCTCGTTGTTACATTTTAGATGTCAAGTCATGCCAAAAGTCCAGGTGTTCAAAGCTGAATCCCCAGTACACGGTTCTAGCGGGAGTTGGCAGAACCCTTGAAAGTTAGGACCTAGTAGGAAATTTTCATGTCACTGTCATCATGGCCTTGAAAGAGATCATGGTATCCCTTACTGTCTTTCATCTTTCCTCACTCTCTTTCATCTACTGGTTTTAAGATGAGTGGCTTTGCTCTGCCTCTCTCTCCTACTATAATGAATTGCCTCATGAAAAGTCAGTGGGGCCAATCAACCAGGAACTGAAGCTCCAGAGCCCAAACACACCTTTTCTTTTAAGTTGGTTATTTCAGATGTTTCTCATAATAATGAAAACGCACTCCCACAAAGCCCAGAAGAGGTTGCCTACACTCTTTCCGTCATGGGGTTTTACCAATCCTTAGGATCTCAGGGTTTCCTGAAGATTCTTTCCTATTAGCTGAGAGGAAAAGGTCAATATAGGATCTTAGAGAAGGGGTTTCCATATGGAGCAGGATAATGTGTTGTGTTGTTTTGTTTTGTTTTGATGAAGTTAACATACATCACTTCCTCCATTTCCACAACTCTGAAGTCCAGCAGTACATGTAAGAGAGAAATGAAGCTGGTTTTGTTGGACACAAGGCATTCCCAGCTACAAAGGCATATTTAGAAAATATTTTCCAAGCGAAAACTTCTGGGTTCCCAAAACAATTAATCTAAAAGGCTCAGAACCCACTACTTATTCAAATAAGGAGAAAGATACTTCTTGGAACGTCAGGTTTTCTAGTTATGATCCTGTTTGACCATACTTCCATAAGCCCACACCCACATTCCTATAGATAAGCTTGTATCCCCAAGTTCCCTCTGCACATTTTACAAAAGATTTACCAGGACACACTTATAGAAAGACCTCCTAAGCTCAAGGCACTGTATGACAGATCGGAAATGCAATTATAAATAAAGTCTACACAATTGATTCAGGGAACTCACAGCAAAAGTAAGTTTAGATATATAACCGAAGCAACATTTAATATCTTTAGTGGCCTCTGGGCAACTTGTGGGACTCTAGTAAGCTCTGAACTTCTGTAGTCCCCAAGGTACAGTCATGGAGCTTCTGCTAGTGCTAGTCAAAACTTTTAAGAACTTAGGAGAACTCTGAGTGACATCTGGGCTGCAGGAGAGCTGTTATCTGTGGGCCAAGGCCAACCAGTAGCAGAGTTTCCTGGCCCCACTTAAGAACTTTGGCAGACTCTGGAAAGACTGCTGGGTCTAACTGGGTCATTAGTAGGAGCTTCAAAAATGCCAAAACACAGGAGCAAAAGGCTTCTAGCCCACCCAGAACAAATCCAGGAGACAAAGACATACAAGAACTTGGAAATCAAACACCTGAAATCTCTGAAATGATACCA